GCACAAAACTGTGACTTTACTCGTTAAATAAGGCAATGAGTAAAGATGGCAAAGAGAAATCTATCTATAATTAGTGGCAGGTCGTGCAACTTCCTACTGTCTTTCATAGGAAATTCTGTCATTTGGCTTTCATATTATCCCTAATTGACTGTAGAATAATTTGGGAAAATAATTTAAGAAGGCTTCTATTTTCAAGTTTTCAACAATTCATTTTATACATACTTTTTCATAAAAAAGAGCTCTGCTGACCTCCACTTTCATGAATTATTTTTAAAAATCATAGTTGAAAGTTAACTTCAAAATACTCCAAACAAAATTTTTGAATTTGATATTTTAAAATCTGATTTTTAAAAAATTCAGTGAACACTAATAGATCGACTGCTCTGTGCCCATCTTTGCATATAAGTCCCTGAGTTTCTGAGCCTGTGGCTGCTGAGGCAGATGACAGCACCAGCATTGCAGGGACTGTCATAAATTCGTACACTAAATTCCAAGACAGCATGGCTAGGGGAGGAGCAAGTCTACCTCAGAAGCTGGGATAGTCAGAGAAGCTTTGGGGGAAGCTGTTTAGAATTTGGACTGCCCAGATGAGTTTGCCAGGCAGAGTGCTGGGAAAGGATATTTGGAGAAGGGACAGTCAGACCAAGTACAACAAACACGGCAAGTAGGTGTGTTCAGAAGACACTGAAGAGTCTCCAGATTGGCTGGATTTTAGAGGGTGAGAATCGGGAGGTAGGCAGGATGTGAGACAAGAGAGACATATCAAGTTTGCCTTCTGATTGCTCCTTTATATCCTGGGTTGTAGGTCACAGTTACAATTGTGGGTGTCTTCTTGTACATCTGTCAGTGGATTAGTACTTACATTAGGAGGGAATACCAGCCATATCCCCTCCCTAGCTTGCAGCTTTAAAAATAGGAACTCTAATCTACATTTTCTAGTTCAACAGTATTTTCAAATTGAATGGTAAATTAAAAGGAGAGAGAGACAACTTGGAGACACTGAAGCCCACAGGTTTGCTGGAGCAGTTACCACTTCTCTAGCCTTCAAGGCTGTCTCATGGTTACCTATAATCTCCCACCTCCTTTTGCTCCCAGGTCTTCTAAATAGAGTATTATGAGGGAAGGTTTGGGGAGTAAGAGTGGAGGTGTTGAGAGGCAAATTTAAAATCAGCAGATTAGCTTTTAACTATCCTTTTGGCTTGCCTGTTTTTGGTGGGCAAGCAAAATGTAGACAGAAATAGTATTTTTATACCTTTTAAAAAATGTGGAATGATAAAAATTCTAGGGAGAACTAGTGTCATTTTGTTTCCTCATCTTCAATTTGAGAAGGACAGGCTGTATTGTGGGATTTCAAGGTATAAGGTCCTGGCATTAGTTTTGTGATCATGCCAGTACACAGAAAAGATAGCTCCTGTTCTGTTCTCAATGCCAAGAAGATATCACTTTCTAAACTGCATGTCAGTGTTTGATATTTATTGGATAAAACATCTGTCCTAATTCTTCAGTTTCCTGGCTCCTGTTGTAATTTTACATGCAAGGGATTTTCCCTGATCCTTTCTTTAACATTAATTTTCCTTTGGCTTGTATTTCAGAGGCCAAAGTCAGTCTGTTAGATAAATATTCAGGCAACTGTTTAAAATGAGTCCTTCATTATTTATTTATCACATCTATTATTAAGAAAGCTGCAAGAATAAGTAGAAGTGAAAACCTTGCATTTTGTCAGAATATGAATCTGCATGAACCTGTACAGGCCAGCTGCACTCAGTGAATTAGTGTTTTTAGATTCAGCTATTTTCACGTCATATGCACGGAAAACGAATGAATAAAGCAACTTAAATGTCCATGAAAAAAGGTCCATATTTGTCAGTAATTTAAAAATGTATATGATCACACTGAGTGAAGCCTATGTGTGAATTGCAAATATGTCCCACCCATTTTTCTTTCCTGATTTTTTTTTCTTAAAAATAAATTATTCAACCCAAAGGAACAATCGCATATTTTTTTTTCTGTTACATTTTGCTTTTCTTTAAGGTTCTATAGTTATTGTGTCAATAAATAATTAGAGAAGTAAATAATTAGGGAAATATGCTTTGATCTGGAGAAATAAAGTCAGGAACAACTTCCAGAAAGAGGGATTAGGGAGAAAATTGACTACCTCAGACAGGTATTCTTGATGTTTTTCTTGGGTCTAGAATGGAGTATAAGATAAAGCAGTGAGTTAAGGAAAATGAATCATTTTTAGAACAAACTGCATGGTATTCCTTAATGCAGTTTCAGCTGTTGTCCTGCCCTCTGTCTGAAGTTCTGGGCTTTAAGTTGAATAGAATCTTTCTTTTGGATACAACATACATAAATAGATGTCAATCACTATCAACATAGTGCCATAATAAATTTAACCAAAATTATGCAGTGTATATGCTGATACTGAAATAGGTATCCCAGTTATCTGATGGTTTCTTAGGTCAGAAATAGAGCAACTGGGTGAGCTATATAACAGTTACCCTCAGGAAGGAGAGGTGATTGCATATTGCTTATTTTCTTATTCAGAAAATAAGAGGGATGCGAGGCCTCAGTTACATGTACACTGGGTCAGAATTTGTTATTGTTTAATCCTGCTGAAGTGAAGTTTACCTTTGAAAGACATGGGAATAATAGCATTTTCTAAACAAATTGGAAGTATATTTAGATGCCCAGTATGCAGAAGCTTTCTCATATTTTCCCTAAGTTCCTTAATATCTTTGGACTGCATTTAGTTCTCCTTTAAACGAACTAACCTGTAAGTTTCCAGTTTTCTAGGTGTAAATGCCATTATAAGAATGTGAAAGTAATAAAACATATTCACTAATGCACACTTTACATTTGGCTGGACGTGCATGGGATCTGTTCATTTGGGATCATATATTCTATCTGCCATCTCTCTGTCACCTCCTCAGTTGGTCACATTTCATAGAGACTTCAGAACATTGAAAAGACTACCTGTGTTATCAGTAAATACTATAAATTTATGTTTAGACTATAAACTGATGATTATTTATAATATTTCTTGATAAATGATAAGCTTTGGCAAGGTGTTACAAATTATTCTGGTGATTATTTTAAGGAGAGAAGCCTAGGAACCGTAGTTTATGTGATCAATGTAATAAACTGTTTCTTAACTAGAACATTTAGACCGTCTTAAGGAAAAAAATCATATTAAGTAAAAAAAAGTCATCTGATCTTTAATTCAGTGACTTTTCTCTCTATATTCATCTGCAAATCTTTTTGCTACTTCAACCATAGTATTTCCTAGACCCGTCACTTACTCACAATTCTCAATTTTTCCTTGTCGGGGGCTGAGTGACTTGTTTCCCCCTGCCTTTGTTAACTTCTAGTTTCAGTATCACGCAACTAAATTATGCTTCTTTCCATATGATATTTTCTGTATCAGATCTTGACTTTTGAAACCAAATATTGTAAGTGGAAAAATCATAGGTTCTGAAGCCAGACTAAGTTGGCCTTGAATCCCATCTCTGCAGTTTCATTGGCCCTATGACCATGGGCAAGTTATTTCACCTTTCTGAGCTCTAGTTTTCTTTCTCGAATATAGAAATATGTACCTTATTGTGTTACAAGAAAGCTGCAAGGATTAAATCAGATCACGTGCCGGAAGTGTCTGGCATTAATAACTAATAGTTATTTTAGTTTCCTAAATTTGTTCATTTGTCTGATTACTTTCTGTATTAACAAAAAATTTGATTTTTTTTCCCAAAATTGTCTCTCATGGGCCGCATGATTATTTCTAGGCAAGGTGTGTTTGAGTCTATCAAAAGCCACTTGAGTGTTCTCAAGGTGCATATGCCTGTGCTTCCCACTTTTTGCTACAATAATTTTTACTTCTTCACCTTTTAAAACTCAGGTCAGAAACCTCTCAAGTTGCCATCACTTGAAAAGTTTTCTTGAATTATCATTAACCCTGGTGCCCTTAAAAAGTCATGTTTTGAGCTTTTTTACAATATGTTCTCAAGTTATTTTCTTCTGACTTCCTCTTGCCTCCTGCCTTTGACATATGCCTCCATTCTGTCGCTAATCATAGTACTTCCTCATTTTGATTTTCCAAACTCCTTCTCCCCCAGTGTATACAGAAAAGGGCCTGCATCTGTGCTCCTACTCAAACCATTTCAGTGTTAAAGTCTCTCAGTTTGAGGAGGAGTCAAATGAGGACTCAGAAGTCTCTCAGTTTGAGGAGAACTAAAGGTAGAGTTCTGGCTCGAACATGGGTTTCAGAGAGCAGACACTGCCTGTGGGCTCTGCTTGGTCACCCAAGTCAGTGAGACGTTGATTTCTTCCAAAAGCAGTCTTTTGGAAGAAAAAGTCTCCTATAGAATAGACAACGTGCAAGCCTGACTCTGATAAAAATGGGCAGTTGTATTGTAGTCTGTGACAGCACCATTTTCCTCAAAATAATTATCTTGAGTTGGTAACAAGCATCTCAGATTTCTTTTTTCCTTATCCATGCTTTATGACTCAGCCCATAGGAGAAAATAAACATGTCCCATAGGTCACAGATTCTATAGTAGTAAGGCTGTTAAGTAGAAGAATCATAATACCTGTGAGGCTGGGTAGCTTTAAAATAATTGCATTAATTTAGATATTTTTTTTTTTTCAGAATACTGTGCATTACCCAATCTTCATATTCAAATTCAGATAGTACCTACTGACTCCCAACTCCTGAGGCAGATATTGTCTATTTTTTATGTCCATACAATAGTTCAGTGACATAGAAATTATCATCAATTTGCGGGTAAGGACAGGAAGGCTTAAAAAGGTTAAATGGAACTGTGGCCACACAGTTATTAAATGATTCCGTTTCTTCCTATCTAGATACTCTTCTTTTTGCTGTGCTATTTTGCTTTATTTTAGGTATCCATTTTCAATTGGAGAAAAGCTCCAAGTGTGTAATTACAGTGGATATAAAAAAAGGAATTCAAATTAGTAATATCATTATCTCTTTCTGTTTCTAGTTTGTTCGAAGCAGGTAACTGATGAAGCATCTTCCACTAGAGATTCAAGCCTTACTAACACAGCAGTGCAAAGCAAGTTAGTGTCTTCCTTCCAGCAGCACACCAAAAAGGCTCTTAAACAGGTAAGATAGCTGCCATTTGTTCTTTGTCCTTCAGTTCTGTGTACTTAAGGTATTGTTCGTTTTGCTGATCAAGTAGGTAGGAACCTAGGAATCAGAAAGCAGAATTTTCCTGAATTCAACCCCATCCATGATATTCAGTTCAATAATTTTAATCTTTGATAAAAGAAAAAACTAGGAGAGACTTGACTGAAAATTTTAATGTAAAATAGAAGAAGGAATATGCATCCACTGAAAATATATAAAAATTTGTATTAAGATTTTGTGTGTCTATGTGTGATTTATAGTAGTAAATCTGTTGGGTTCATAAATGCATTGCATATTTAAAAAATAACATCTCTATGTTTTTTGTGCTTATCTGATAGTATAAAAATAAATGATAATTTATTTGTTGTTACTGAGATACATTAAGTTACAAATAAGAAAAATAGTGAGTGTTGCTTACTTACATCTGGAGTATTCATTAATGAGTGTTGTTTGGTGCTGAATGGCAGTTAAAGTTGCCATATTATTCTGCTGTCACTGAGGCAATACGGGCCTTTGTGGCCTTGCACTGAGATGGTGCAAGGAGGGGATATTTACAAGGTTGGGCTCTGGGCGCTGACATACCCTGGTTTAAATTCTTGCTATTCACTTGCTGTCTCTAGGCAAGCTACTTCTCCTCTCTGAATCTTAAATTCCTTATATAGAACATGTGGAAAATAATAGTATCTTGCTCCTGGGATTGATCTGAGAATTAACTGAGGAAATAGGATGAAAGCACGTGGTAGAGTGTGTGGCTCATAGAAATAATAGTGACTTCTGTTATACTGGCAAATGCTAAATTGAGCAGAGAAGAAAAGGAGGAGATGTTATGGTTAGATGGAGCCATCGTATGATGATAAAACAAAGAGTGTCAGTAAATGGAAGGTTCACGTATTTAGCCCTGAATTCATAGTTTCCCCTTAAGTGCTTTCCTCTTGTACATTCTATTTTGATCATTCTATAACAACTCCCCCTTCAGCCACCCATTGATGACCTTTACCAGATCCAGGATTAGAGGTATCAGTCTAGTGATATATTTATCACAAGGAAAAGAAAAATTATGTTTTCTAAAATAGAGTTTTTTAAGTTCCACCAACCACTAAAGCTTCTTAATGTGCACATCCAAAAACTTAGAACGTTTCTACCTATCTTCTCCTGTGCCTCAGACAAGAAAACACAGGAAAGAAACTTAGCATGTTTATGCTGAATTGTTACCTTCCTATTTCATATTATTGACACTGCAGCATTGCCATTCATTGGTTATTATATTGAAGGTAGTAACAGTATATTTCACCCTGCATAGGTCAAGTACCCTTTGGAGAGCTTGCTACTTACTGCATTTCAAATGTTTTAGATGCCAGAGAACAAAACTGAAATCGGTGTTGAGATCCCTTTTTAATTGATGAAATAAAAAATGGATGTAGGTAGCAAAGCCTGGGTGACTCATTCAGACAGCAAATAAGATGCAGGTAATAAAATACTAACCAGAATAGAAGAAAAGATACAAAAATGGACACTTGTGGCTGTGGCATTTAAGAAACATAAATGGGATCATAAATGAAACATACTTGTGAGGTTCAGTGAATTGAAAAATGTGCACACCGTGAAATCTTCCTGTATATGAATAGAAATATAAAGGTACAACTTTCTGTATTGTTCTATATCATTAATTTGTACTTTCATCATTTTGGTTTTGTGTTATTGGAACATTTTTTGCAATTACTAAAACATTACACAATTTTAAGTGATTTTTTTTGTTTTGTGTTTTTTGTAGAGCATATTTTCATGGGAACTGCCACTGCTTGCTTAGAGTCTTAAGCTTTGTTTTAAGAATCCTGTCTTGAAAGCTTCTTAATGTCCTGAAAGAGTTATTAATTCATTTCTTAAAACTTCTATTTTATAACCTATAGCAAATTAGTAACCAGGAGAATATGGCTCAATATAGAGCAAATATGCTAATATTTGATTAATAATCAAACTTATATTGGAAACATATTTAGAAGAAAAGCTGTTCTTGCAGAATTTTGCCCAGATTCCATGTAATTGCTGAATTTCTTAAGACAGCATTGCAAAAATTGACTGAACATGCAGCATTTTAAACTGTAGCAACCTCAGCAAATCTACAGCTTTCTTTTCTTTTGGATAGCTGAATGGCTATGACCATGCGGAATTCTTTGTAAGTGTGTTATATACATATATATGTATATATTTCCATATACATGTGATCTGTGTTTGTGAATATATGTTTCATGTGTATGTATATATGCATAAATCATAATCATATGAACCTAGGGCCAGGAGAATGATCTTAAAAATAATTACATTAGCTGATAATTAACTGTTATGGTTTCTAGACCCTGTACTCTCCATTTTACATGGGATATATTATTCTCATGCAAATGCTTGGAAGTATGTACTTATATCTCCATTTTTCAAAGGAAGAAACTAAGACCCAAGTTAGGTAACTTGCCCAAGATCACCCCGCAAGCAAGTAAATCTTAGAGATGACGTTTGAATCCAGAACCGTAGTTTAGATTCTGCCCTCTTCACAAATGCTGCCTTTCAGCATATGCTATGTAATAGTATAGATGAATTTTTGATACTATCCAAGAAAATCTACATACTTGAGTTGTTATATAGCATATGGAAAGCAATACAGCATGCTTATTAAAAATAGCATTTCTGAATAGAGGCTGCTTATCTTCAGTGCCAGCCCATATTGATAACACACACTCAAATATACGTCATTATTATTTTATTAGAAATATGTCGTGATTCAGTAGGACTTTAGTCTATACACTAACCAGTGTAGACTCTTAGAAAGAAGTAGATTTAAACAAATTCCTAAAACCCAATAGCTTTATAATCATAAGTGGAGTTAAAAAAATAATTTAAAACAAACTGTCTTACAAAATATGCCAGGCATAATTTCTTAAGTCTGAAGGCCCCCACTTTCTACCCCTGCCTGAAGCACGTTGCTACAGAAAGTGGGCTCTTTGATGTCATAGCACTGTTGATTGCAGTGTAACTGTAAGCTGGACAATCTGGAAGCTATAATGTCCCTTGACTGTTGACATAGAATACTTTTATTGCTCCCAAATATTTGAGTCCCTTTTACTTTCTAATCCTCAAAATGTTAGTTAACATCATATGTGGGGTATAATTGCATGAATAATATAGTGTTATTTCAGTAGTTGTCTTTTTTTTTTTCTGCATAAGCATATTCAGAAGCCTCTGGAGAGCAGCAGATTGCTGATTATTACCTTGTTCCCTGTCTTCTTTCTGCCTGGGTATTTTAGTTATGATCCTAAAAAGTGTGAAAAGATTAGATTCTGCATTTTAAAATATAATTCAGGAAGATTAAATTTTAGAAATTTTAAACAGCCACAAGATAATGAAAGGTTAAAGAAGGATGAGTTCTCTACAGCAAGTGACATGGTAGTGAACATAACCTTTCTATGTTGTTTGTGTTGGTTTATTTGACTTCCTTCATTATTTATTTAGGGTGGTAGAGTTTATTCATAAAGTTGCAGATGCATTTTCTTTTTGATATTGCAAAGCAGATCTATTCTTGGCATTTTGCTGTAGCTTTATATGTTTGACCAATACTGTGAAATTCCAAAGGTTATATTACATGATAATAGTTTCTGAACACGGGCATTGACATTTATCACACTAGCGGCAATGCAAGTTGTTGGTGCCTGAAACAGCCCACTGTTTTCTATATGTATTTCTAATCATTTAACTTTTAGCATTCACAGCATGTGATGTTTTCAGATTTTCAGTGGAAGAGTTACTGCATTCAGTGCATTCTTAAGCTACATTGCTTGTGTTTTTGCGTTGTTAAAATAAAGCAGGCATTACTTGCTTAAAATTCCAAGTTAACACAAAAGCCTCTGATTTGAAGTTTTATTTTATTTTTCCATTAGGATAGGAATGAAAACGAATCCATATTTTTAGAACTATCTAACAGGCTTTCTGTCTGAAAAATCAAATGTTTATTTAAAGGGTTTTTTTCTCTCTCTCTCTTTTTGCAAGAAAGTATTGCAATATGTCACTGGAGAAAAGCATGCACAGTCAGCATCTTTTGATTTCTTTCCTTGCACTTAGAGCCAGAATTGAATTATGTGAGTGTGATATGATCTTTACTTTTCCTAGACTGGGTTAGCTATGTTGTATGTGTTTCCTTTGAAAAGTGCATTCATTTCCAGGGTTAAGCTTGTAAATTTCTTTCATATTAAATAATACCTGAAAGCATTAAACTTGGTAAATCCAATTATACTCCTTCTCAAAACACCATCAATATTGAAATTGTACTCTGTGTGGTTTGGACAGTGGAACATTATACATGTGACTGGCTTGAAGGTACATTTCTTCATAGTAGACTGCATTTACACTCACCATCTGCTTGTTTATTTTGATTTTGATATTGTTTCTTTCTGGATTTGAAAGGACAGGATTTAAAGTTGTTCTACAAGATAGTCCGTTAGCATTCCTCAGTACAGCTAAGGCTTGAGACAGTTGGAGGTGTCTCATTTATATCCTCCCCTAAAATGAATCTAGACTCAAATAGACTGATTATGTAATATCTGTCAAAATAAATCACATTATAGACAAATCAACAGGGCCACCACTAGCTAATTAAGACTCTAATGTGTAATAGAAAAAGCTGCCCCTTCTAAGTTGTCACAACAAAAAATAACATCCCCTCTTTTAGGGTACCCCTGTATAGGACACAGCATCCATAACAATCTAAAGTGATCCTCTTAATCCTATTTTCTTAATCTATTCCATGAATTTATAATATCCAGGCTGTGGGATACCCAAATACAGATAATTACAAGTTAATTTGCAGATGATTTCTATTATATATGTAGCATAATGTATAATAGGAATTTTCTTGTTTTCCTAGAATTTCAGCAAAAGCTCAAAGCTGCAGACAGTATGATACCAGTAACCCTGTTTGGAAGAGAGGTGTTAGACATAGCCGCAAAGGACTAAGAGGAGACCAGATGGTCGATTGAACAACCCCCAACAGATGTATAAAAAATAACTCAAGATTTGGGGGTGTGTGTTCCAAACCTTGTATTTTCAAGGATTATGAGATTTGTTAAATCAGAGGGCTGACCATAATGGCTCGGCTACACATTGTACAGTGGGACAAGGATGCTGACTCTGCTTGTATCCTGAGCAGGTGCTGAACAGCTAGTCAAGCATGGGGAATTTGTAAAGACCTTGCCTAGGAAAGCTGCCTACTTAGATGAGAGGAACCAGGTACGTAGAGCCTGCACTGAGGGGAAGTGCGGAGGTCAGCTGGAGAGAGCGTGGTTTATGTCAGTGTTGAACGTAGTTTCAAAGGCCTCCCAGCAAAAGCCTCTTATGTATCCACTAATGCAGGCCATACAAATCTAGCAGTTGGCCCTCTACCTCCCAAAAGGTTATATGATGTCATGGCTATGATAACACTGGTTAAGACAACTTTGCTCTAGTCTTTCATTCCTATTCTCAATCCTAATCCTGGGGAACTGAGGAGAAAAAGAAAGAGGAAACAAAGGAATAACAAAACCAGGAAACCCTTCCCCAGTGAAATTCCTGATTTGAGACACAGGCATGGTCTGGGGAGGGTAGAAGGGAAGCTTTGTATTTGACCTCATGTTTTTCAGTTTTTCATCCTGAATATAAGTCCTCCGATCTTTATAAAGCCTTGGCAACCATTTTGCAGTTCTTTGCTTTCTCTGTAAACCCCCTACTCCTTTTTTTCCATCTACTCTGGGTTTTTTTTTTGTTTTTTTTTTTTTTTTTTTTTTTTTAGTTTCTGCAGTAATCAAAAGTTATCCCTGCTAGTGGATATGATACTATTTTTTTACTTATTGGAGACCCCACAATTTTCACACAACTAGTTTCTTCTTGTCATTTATGTCTCACCTCCTTTGTTGCCTCCAGAGAGGCCATTTCTGACATCCCACTCTAGACTGGTTCTCCCCACCCAAGTTACTCTACTTCCTCTTTCTGGCATAATTTTCCTAGCACTTGTATGTGAATGAAACACTTATATTATTTCATGTATTTCCTTGTCAATCCGTCACTAAAATGTGGAATAATTAAAACTACTCTCATGTTCACCACTATGGATCAGCAGCACTTATGCTATCGTACAGCTGAATAGGGTCTCAAAAATGCATTGGTTGCAGAAAGGATAAGTTATATAAATAACAAAAAATGACATTTGTTGAGTATTTACTATGTGAGGTAAACTCTGATAACCACTGTTGTGCAGATTTTCTGTTTAAAGCATCTTGCCTGCGCTGCTGCCTCTGTTTTGTAGGGACATTGACCCAAGTCATTTACCCAGCAGCTAGTTGGTTAAATCTTTCTCTGACTCTACAACTCCTTAACCACTGCATCACACTGCCAGTTTTTCAGAAAATTCTGAAATTCTGTAAAATTCTTCTGTAATCCCAGTACTTTGGGAGGGAGGCAGGGAGATCGCTTGAGGTTAGGAGTTCAAGACTTGCCTGGCCAACATAGTGAAACCTGTCTCTACCAAAAACAAACAAACAAAAAACTAGCCAGGGGTGGTGGTGCAAACCTGTTATCCTTGCTACTTGGGAGGATGAGGTGGGAGGATTGCTTGAACCCAGGAGGCGGAGGTTGCAGTGAACTGAGATTGCACCATTGCACTCCAGCCTGGGCATCAGAGCGAGACTCCATCTCAAAACAAAACAAAACAAAAGGAAAAAGAAAATCTTTTTATACAGCAGGCATTTAGTTTTGTTTGCCTACAGACACATAGTGTGTGTCAGGGCTTTTAAAAAATATTGTACTGAGAAACAGTCAGGTGGTCTGATCAGGAAACATAAATTCAAAAAACATCATACAAACAGACTCAGTGTTGGTCACCTTCCTTTATCCTTGCCTTGTCTTTTTAAAATTAAAAATTGCTACGGGTTTTTATTCTTACATTATTTTTATTATGGCTTTCTTCTGATTACTAATTTTTCTATAGCAGAGTCCTCTCAGCTCTAGAAATTGAGGTCAAAATTTTCGTTGCTTTAATTATTATTTACCACAAATGCTCTAAAAAGACATGCCAGCTTTGACTTAATGATTCCAGCTTCTAGTTAGTTCATTTTTTTTTCCCTAAATATTTTCTAAAATAAACTCTCTAACCACACACACACACACACACACACACACACACACACACACACACAGTATTTTTAAAATGCCTAATTTTTTTCTCCATGAGAAGTAGTTTAAATATATGCTATAAAGGCTCCTGAAAATTGATCACTCTTTGTGCAGGCTTAATTGTTTTGTGAAGTCTTACATAATGGGGAGAGATGGACTTAATTGTAATTTAAATTGCTATGTTGCTGTGTTCTGTTTTATTATTGGATTGTTAGGTTAATTTCTATAAAGTACTTTGAATCCTTATACAGTGCTAGACAGATTGATTCAATTATGTGCAAAATTTATGTGCAATTATGTATACATCTTGAAGAAAGAGTAAATGTCTTAAATATTTTATAACACATATGTCCTCATTAAATGTATTATTGACAGCAGGCTAAAGGTGAGAAGGAAGGCATATTATTAATCTTTGTATTTTTTGCCCCTCTCCCATGTATAGTAGCTGGGTACTTTATGAAAACTTAGTAAATGTAAGAATCAAAGAAAAGATGTCTTATGTTATCATTAACAACCATATCATTTGTAATAGATTTCCCAAGCTTTTACTTTCTCATCAGGCTTTAAATCTTATCTGAGTAAGTTGTATGCATAATTTAAATGCTTTCTCTCATTTAAATGGTATTTAATTTTCACTTCTGTAATTATTTGGTTGCTAAATCTTATGGTTGACAAGTTGGACATTGGCTAATACCCTTTGCAAATAAAAGGACATCGTTTTTTGACAGCAAGGGAAAATACAGTCAAGGCAGTCTTTCAGGAGATTCTGACAACTCTCAGTCGAAGAACATTAATCAAGTAACTGGGATGTTGTAAAATTGGTAGAAATTACACAGAAACTAGGAATAAAAAGGATTGAGACCGTCTGAAGCCAGCCTTTTAACCTTTTGAGGAGTTTTAGCATTCCTATGGCTGTGAATTTAATGGCTTTTCAGTTTCGTGTGCTTAAGACCCTTTTTATTACAGGTAATTTTCTATATAAAGTGATCAGCTAGATAAGCTGTATTTCAAAACTTTTAAATGTCTTTTATTACATTATCATCACTGTGGTCGATTCATTTATGAAACACAAAGTGCTCCCATTTGGAGAGATTTATTCTCATATTCATTTTTTCCTGGATTTGCTAGAACCTGTCATGTTCGTGTTCTGAAGGTTAATGCCCAAAGTCAAGCAGACAGAAGCCAAGTGCTGCAAGGTTTCCAAGATTAGGACTGATTCCCTTCACAGAAATAAATGATTCCTGCCATGTTCAGTGATTTTGTGCAGTGCTCCCCACGGCTGAGTGAGTGCATCAATACTGTAGTCCTTACATGCTGTACATACTGATGACACTCAGTGTTAACTTGATTGACTGAGCGGTGCGCTGGAGAGGACGCACCTGCGAGAGAAGTGCAGACACATATATTTTTATCCTGGTTTCGAAACATTTATTTTACATTCATTTGACTTGGGAGCCATAGTTTCAAATTCCATGGACTCTCAAGCCACAGTGCTAAGGTAGAAGAAACCATTAAGTGCTGCTTTGTTGTTAGAATTATACCGAAAATGGTCTTGGGCTTATACCCTTTGCCAAAGCCTGATTTTATGCTTTTAAGGGAAAATGACATGAAGGTAACTATTAAGAATCCTGAGAAATTAAGGGCTCTGTGGAATTTAAGTCTCTTAAGAGGTTCTGTCTAATGATAGGCAAATGAGTCATTTAATTCAATTATGAGCAATTATTTTGGCTACATTTTTATGTCATATCTTTTGATTATGTTTTGTAGGCTTTGAGGCAGCAGCAGAAAAGAAGAAATGGAGTCTCAATGATGGTAAACAAGACTGTTCCTCGTGTTGTTTTGACACCATTGAAGGTGTCTGATGAGCAGTCGGATTCGCCTTCAGGTAAAGAGCTGAAATACCATATGCTTGGCCAGTTTCTTCCTAGAGGAGACTTCCTTACTGAGAGAGATGTCATGATTTTTTTCTGAAACCGAATAATACTTCCACTTAAGGTTTGGTTTAATTTTTTTATACCTTTGACTCAGTGATTCAAAAATATAGACTATTTCCAGTTTAGAAAAGAAAAATGTACCAGCTTGCTCATCATCAGCAAATGAAGACAGTAGGTATAAGAAAATGTGTAGGTGAATTGTGTTGTTTTTGTTGCTTTGGCTTTTGTTTGAATGTTGAACTTTAAGGGTGGACCACATGCTGATGTATAATACCATCAAAAGCAGTTCTTTGTGAGTGTGAATTTGTTCTTCAGTCCTGTGCTGCAAAATCAGAAATCCTTTATTAGTTTTTGTGTTCTGGCAGCATTCTTCTCACCCCAGTGCAGCCCTGACCTTTTCTTCTAATTTACCTTCTGTCACTTTATCAGTTATGTACTATTCTATTTATTGTAGATTAACGTTTGTATTTTTTGTTCCTACTTCAACATAAAGTTATTTATAAGGGTATAATCTCTCCCTCTCTTCAAGATTCCTTTCTTCTTCATCTTCCTGTCTCTGTCTTGTATTGTCTCAAAATGGCATAGTATTGTTCAAGCTTATTCGTGTATTTTACAAAAGACCTGACTCTATTTCTTTTAAAAGCTATCAGATCAGTGAACGTAGTTTTGACTCCACTATTAGGCCATCTGTTCTTGCTTTTTGTTCTGTTTGATTGATTTATTGGGCTTCTTTTTTATATCCAGTGGGGGAATCAGATTGTGGCCAAAGGTAGTATATTAACTCTTAGAAAAGGAGATTATATCTACAGTTCCTCAAACAATTTTAGATTTTTCTTTTCGAGGACAGCTAGAGAAGATAATGACATAATAACTATTTCCTTTTTTAGGATCCGAATCTAAAAATGGTGAAGCAGACAGTTCAGATAAAGAAATGAAACATGGGCAAAAATCTCCCACTGGAAAACAAACAAGTCAGCACTTAAAACGATTAAAAAAGTCTGGTTTAGGTGAGTGTTTAATAGACTATGCCATTTCACATTTTAGAAATTTATGTTTCTTCAAATAAATTATCTAAAATTCTCAGAACATTTTTTTAATGATTAAACAAGGAAATTAAAATTTCCCTCCATTTATCAAAACCAAAAAGGGTGCTAAATAAGGAAACATTGTAGTTACAACTGAATGGTCTTAAGCCTATTACTAAATTTGTGAATGATAGTAATGGATGAAGCAGAGGGTAAAGATAAGAGACTTAAAATTGATACATGTAAAATAATTATCTGCCGGGTCGTGATTCTATCTAATGTGTAGTGATTTGTCTGTGCAACGAGGTTATACTTTATTGGAATATGCTGTATTGGAAGAAAAAAATGCAACCTTTATAAAGGGTTCACTGAACTGGAGAGTACATTGTCAGTGGCGTCTGCTGCAGTAAAATTGCTCTTCCTTGCTTTTTGTCTATGCTTCTTAAAATATTTAGTAGTGGCTCTCTGAAAAAATAATGTAAAATTGCTGAGAAATGTGGGAGGCACAGGCCACAGGTCTTTCAAGTCAGCACCAGGTTTTCTTCGACATACTTCTTTCCTGATAACTTTTCATCAGGAACCCCCAACAGCATTCAGGCAGAAAAGAGCATGAGAATTAAAAAGACAGAAATAAACCTATCCTGGTTTGAACACTAGAATTCTCAACTGCCACTGCCTTGTTGCTGCACCTGGATCCTGATGGCTTCATTTCTCCCTCTCAGTTGTTTTACCTGTGAATAGGGTCATGATAATAACCTGGATCTTTATAATATTTTGTAAAATGTTTGGCAGAAACTACAGATTTATTGATGTGAACTTTATACCTGTTCGGCCACTTACTTTCTTGGCAACTTGAGATAATTCTTATTTGCAGAGTGTATCTGTTTATAAAATTCAAGATTTTATCTGATTTTTTTTTAGTAAAGTTTTTTCAATTGTTACTATATGACAGACATTTTGCTAAATCTTGGGACATACTTCCAGCAAAAAGACTTTAAATAGGATTTATTTATATTTAAATAAGAGACCTTTAGGAAAGCAGAATCTTTTTTTATTTAAAATCTTTAAATACAGCATAATTCTCTGTTTTGCATTATTTTCAAGGCTAAATAATTTTAGTTATTCTCTAGCCCAAAATATGTGTGTTTGTGTATAACCATACTTACCTATACATTGACATATTCTTTCCTAGTATTCTGGGTGTTGTAAAGTAAGTATTTTAATGTAAGTAGCTTCTGAAATAGAAAACTATAGTGGGAGAATGATATATAAAGAATATACCAAAAATCCAAAACAGTACCACATTATCATACACTAAGGAATTTAAACGTCAGTGACCTTTAGTTAAAAACAGTCGGCTGCCAACCTTCATAAAGTTAGTGCCATGTAATGAGTGTATGAAAATTTAAGGCACAGGGGCATCCCCATTTATTTCCTTAGTTACTTCAGTACTGAAAGTTACTAAGGTGTGCCATTATCAGGATCCTCTCAGAGGCTCAGATCTTTAGTCATTCTTTTTTTATTTTTTTTATTTTTTGACATGGGGTTTTGCTCTTGTTGCCCAGGCTAGAGTACAGTGGCACCATCTCAGCTCACTGCAACCTCCGCCTCCCGGGTTCAAGTGATTCTCCTGCCTCAGCCTCCTGAGTAGCTGGGATTACAGGCACCGCCACCATGCCCAGCTGATTTTTGTATTTTTAGTAGAGACAGGGTTTCACCATGTTGGCCAGGCTGGTCTCAAACTCCTGACCTCAGGTGATCCGCCTGCCTCTGCCTCTCAAAGTGCTGGGATTGGGGAGTGGGCCACCATGCCCGGCCCAGGATCTCTTGTATTCTGATTTTTGTATCTTGAAGTCCATGCTCAATGAATTAGAGAATCAGAATTTGTTTTAATACTGAAAGTCAACTGAAAGATATAAAGACTGATACACAAGTCTGCTCTTAGGAAATCCTGCATGCCACTAAACGTCTTATATGTTAGATATCGTGTTGCTGAAGGATTTCGGCAAATTGTTAGCAAATTAAAAGGTAATGAAGGAGTGCCTCCTGATATTTCAAACCTGCTTTGTTCTAGACTATAAAGTAATAGAGATAATGAAACTAATGGAGGAATGGAGAAGTGAAGTCACATTCACTGGCCATATGTAATGGAATGGTCTAAGTATTTTAACATAAGTTATGTCTTTTAATTTTACTTCAATTTTGTACAGTAGAATGACGTCTGTTTTACAGCCGAAGGAACTGAGATCCTGAAGGTTTAAGGAGGTTGCATGAAAATGACACAGCTAAGTGATACAGGCCAAGACATATCTAACTCCAAAGTCTAAGCCGTTCATTCTGGATAGAATCTGAATATTAAATCATCTAACCTATATTTTAGACCTGTAGGCGCCACTGAGGGAAATACAAGAAATGACATGGTGAGACTACCATAGGTGTTAAAGTGCAGGTCTAACTACACATGGAAGGAGAGCTAGCAATTGTAAGATTTCTCACCCTATTCTGCATCAAACACAAGGAGGAAGAAGGTGGGATTTAAAATAAGCCAGCTGAAGTACAATTCTGTCAAAGGTAAACTGCAGGTGTTTACTGGGTAGGAACTGTGACTGGCTGACTAACCTATCCAGCAGCTGAATGGAATGGCTTATTTTGTGCAAATGAAGTCAGTAGTATTTTCGAAGTTTCCAATATATGCCCAACAGTAGAAAATGAAAAAATGTGGAATGAAAGGACGGTGCTTAAATATAACCATCTCCAGAAAATAACCCGTGTTTTTTGTTTGTTTGTTTGTTTTGTTTTGTTTTGTTTTTTGAGACAGAGTCTCGCTCTGTAGCCCCAGACTGGAGTGCAGTAGCACAATCTCGGCCCACTGCAAGCTCTGCCTCCCGGGGTTCACCCCGTTCTTCTGCCTCAACCTCCCGATTAGCTGGCATTACAGGCGCCCGCCACCACGCCTGGCTAATTTTTTGTATTTTTAGTAAAGACAGGGTTTCACGGTGTTAGCCAGGATGGTCTCGATCTCCTGACCTCGTGATCTGCCCACTTCGGCCTCCCAAAGTGCTGGGATTACAGGCGTGAGTCACCGCACCTGGCCACCCGTGTCTTTTTTAGACAGTAATGTTTTTAATGCCCTGTTAGAATCAGACTGATGTTTAATACTCTGTAAGGCATATTTACATACATTCTGCTCTTTGCCATTAAGTTGTTAACTCCTTGGAACAGTGGCCTTTCTGTCCACATCTGTAGTCCTTACTACAACCATCATAGCCCTTCTGTTTAGTAAGTTCTCAATGAGTTTGGAATGAATGACTGATTCTAATTAACTGAATGACCTAGAAGTTTGGATGAATGAATGGCACATTCTAGGGGGTCCAGCATAGTGAAGTTCCTCCTATCTTCTTGAACAAAAATGGTCCTGTGTTGGTGGAGAAGGTCATTCTTTGTATACCGGCGTGTAGCAGATCCAATGCAAAGGAGTGATCCCCCCTCATATCCTTTAGCCAGCCAGATAGAGACAGCCTGTATTCCCTATTCTATTTTTTTTCCACCTGAGTTAGACATCTAATTCATATGGTCTTGAAATGAGGTTTTTTACTTTACTTGCATTCTCTAGGTAGTAGTGGGTATGTATAAGTCCTAACCTGTTGAAACCATGCTGAATTAAAACAAATGCTGTAAGTCTGTTCTAATTTAAGCTAATAATTCTGAAACAAAATCCAGTGAAAACCAGAGTTCAGGGTGTAAGTGTACAGTTTTTTTTCTCATTGTGATATTTTCCTAAAAGGATACAAAGTTCTTCTAATTGTCCCCTAAGTGCCTCCTCTTGATTTCTTTTTTTTTTTTTTTTTTTTTTTTTGAGACGGAGTCTGGCTCCGTCGCCCAGGCTGGAGTGCAGTGGCCGGATCTCAGCTCACTGCAAGCTCCGCCTCCCGGGTTTACGCCATTCTCCTGCCTCAGCCTCCGGAGTAGCTGGGACTACAGGCGCCCGCCACCTCGCCCGGCTAGTTTTTTGTATTTTTAGTAGAGACGGGGTTTCACCGTGTGAGCCAGGATGGTCTCAATCTCCTGACCTCGTGATCCGCCCGTCTCGGCCTCCCAAAGTGCTGGGATTACAGGCTTTATCTAGCAATTAGTTGCTTTATCAGATTGCAAGATATTCACTCTGTGCAAGGCATGGGTTTCACTTGGGCCTTACATCTAAGGAGTGTAGCCCAAGACACAATGGACCCCAGTATGTTCTCTCAACGCTCGTCAGTACAGGAGGCACCATAGGCCCCCTCAGACTCTCTCATGCTCAGCTTCCCTAGAGAGGGTTAGAAGCACACAATAAAACAAGAATAATAATAAGCAGCTTCAAAATTTCTCAACCTCAGTTTTAAATCTTAAGTTGAAAATAAAAGAAAAAAATTTCCTCAGTCATTCTAATTCTGATGGTAATCTCGAAGTTCTCCTGAGAAATATACCACCCAGCTTGGGAAGCTACAACTGTTGATGTAGGTTTTTGGTTTTGTTCTGTTTGTTTGCCCATGGCCAGGGCTGTGCATGAAAACTATGATGATATTTCTTTGAGTAGCCCACTGATTGAATAGACTTGGTCACGGGGTGAGTGCAGTTGAAAAATATAGTGCTTCTAAAATGGTATGTATTTCTCTGATGAGGTTATAATGAAACAAAACAAAACTTTGGTGGTCCCTTTCCTATTTCTTAATCAAGTACAATAGAAAACACTGTTCTGATATGCATAAAACAAATGCTAACAATGTCTACAAGGACTCCTTTATTATAGACCTTGAAAATTATTATAACAGTAAATGTTAAACTACCAAATAACCAGGCAGTAGAAACTTCATCTGCTGGGATGAAGGGTAGGTGCCAGCTGCAAATGCGGTTAGAAGCGTATGTTTTTCTTGCCTAATCAGTTGTTTTAATAATACCCTCTCTCCTTGCCTTAGCAAAGGATAAACCACTTAAAACCCTCTCCC